TGGAACAGCAATGCAGAACATGGGCTTATTCTGCATTTCTCCGGAAAATGGGCAGCCCCCTCCCCGGTGCATCAAGTTGGTTAGCAAGTGGTTGAAAGACCCTCTACTTTAGTGAACTTAGAGACGAATGGGGTGCTAAAGGAAGGCTGCGCTCACTTCCTTTAGCCACGTTTCCTGCATTAATCCATTACTAAGACGGCAGTAACTTCCTCCCTTTCCCTTATCAATAAATCTAGTTAAAGAAGACTTGCTTTTCAGCTGTAAACAGCTGCTAAAGGCTTGGAAGCTGATTCAATGCATGGCTTTGCTTGCCAAAGACTCCTGACGTATATCCGATAGACAGGCAGACAGACAGATGTGTGTGTGTGTGTGTGGTGTGTGTGTGTGTTGGTGTGTGGATGGATAGATGGATGGAAAGCTGGAATGGCTGGGTGTGACATGGATGGTAGTAATTAATAGCAATTCAATTAATTAATAATTGGATTAATTAATCCCAATCGCTATTTGAGGCAGGTGACCTGGGGTCACAAGGAGTCTTGGAACATACTTTAATGAGGTTAATGGCTTGTGACAGGATCCTGAAAGTCTGTCAAAGCCTTTTTCTACTTTAGCGTATACCTAACCCAATCAAGGTGGAGTTGTTTTGAGTCTTTCACAATTTTTTCCCCGATTTTTTTTTTAATCCCGCCTTTCTTACTTTTATAAATAACTCAAGGTGGCGAACATACCCAATACTCCTCCCTCCCACTTTCCCTACAACAACAACCCTGTGAGGGGTTGGGCTGAGCGGGAGGGACAGGCCCAAAGTCAGCTGGCCAGCTTTCCTGCCTATGGCGGGACTCGAACTCACTGTCTCCTGCTTTCCAGCCTGGGGCCTTCACCACTAGACCAAACTGGCTCTCTCTTTTTACTTTCCCACAACTGAGATCTAATTTCTATCATGGCTGGGCATTCTCCTCCCCGTTCTCTGAGTCAAACCAACATTCCATCGTTTAGATAGGCCATCTTTCCTTCTGGATGGGGTGGCTGGAAATTTTCCTGCCTCGCCCAAATTTTCCTGCCTCACTGCAACGCAGGGCCCTTTCCTCCAGACTGGATGACTTTGTCCTAAAGTAGCAGAGATTTTGAATAACAATGCCCACCGCCCCCAAACCCCTTCCCTGGACCCCCTGCCCCAAATGGAACATGGACCAAAGGAGGGACAGGTAAATACCGCAGCCCACCCACATCCTTCAGACTTCTCCCCAACTCTTTTTCCTCACTGGTATCTGAATTTATTCATGGCGACAGAGACGTGCTTGGGATTCCAGAGATCGCAAACGTAAAGGTTGTGGTCGTTCTCGGGGATGAGATCCACATCGTGAAGGAAAAGGCAGTTCCACTCTTCATCTTTTAAAGCTTCCTTCACGCCCACGTTCAGAAGCTTGGCACGATTAAAAGTGGCGTTCCCAGCCTGCGGGAAAGAGCCGACCGCGATTGAACAAGTCACCTGCCACTGCAGACCAGCCTGGAGCAACCCCCTGAGACCCATCAGCACCACGTGGCTGTCGCTCGCATCTCAGATGCCAAGCCCACCGTGCTGTAAATCTCCCTGTGTCGGCCTCGCGGGGCAAACTAGACAGGAATCGCAACCAGATGAGCTAATTCTACTTTATGGTAAAGCTACATTAACAGATCTTGTAAGTCTGAAAGTACAATTCTACCCCCATCTCCTTTACAGCCTGAGAAACTAGAGAGAGTCCCTTCTGAGTCTTTTTCTCCACCCATTATGCAGCTGTGGCTATGCCGTCTCTTATCTGACCATTCCCTTGGCAGCATCTCTTGGCCCCGTCTCCCAAGGTCTTTCCCACATACCATTACACCCTGGTGCATCTTTCAACATTGTCCCTAGCTGTCCAAGCATTGATTTATTTTGAAGACACTATGGCTTAGGTGTGTCAGGCCTAGCCCAAGGAACTCCAAGAGACAATGCAAAATCAGTTCAGCTATGTTTATTAGCTACA